CGATTTTTTTTTGTATCAACGTTTAGACCGCTATTTAAATATAGAGTTCCGACCATTTGCAAAAGAAAAAATAAGCTCCTTCTACCTAATAATCTAAGTAACAGAATTGACGTTTTAAAACAGTTTTCAACCCGTTCAACCACTATAATTAAAATATTTGAAATTTTTTTTTGCCAAAAGTGTTACTCAAAGATGGTTTAAACTATGTGTATTAGATTTGAAGTTCGATATCAAATCCTTCAATCAAAAAATATAATAAGTTAAATTTGTAGTAAAAAATCCTTCAACAGGTATGTCGCCCACACCTATGTAAGTAAAAAGTAACATTTTCCGAATTTTTTTGTATCAACGTTTAGACCGTTATTTAAATATAGAGTTCCGACCATTTGCAAAAGAAAAAATAAGCTCCTTCTACCTAATAATCTAAGTAATAGAATTGTCGTTTTAAAACCGTTTTCAACCCGTTCAACCACTATAATTAAAATATTTGAAATTTTTATTTGCCAAAAGTGTTACTCAACGATGGTTTAAACTATGTGTATTAGATTTGAAGTTCGATATCAAATCCTTCAATCAATAAATATAATAAGTTAAATTTGTAGTAAAAAATCCTTCAACAGGTATGTCACCCACACCTATGTAAGTAAAAAGTAACATTTTCCGAATTTTTTTTGTATCAACGTTTAGACCGCTATTTAAATATAGAGTTCCGACCATTTGCAAAAGAAAAAATAAGCTCCTTCTACCTAATAATCTAAGTAACAGAATTGTCGTTTTAAAACAGTTTTCAACCCGTTCAACCACTATAATTAAAATATTTGAAATTTTTATTTGCCAAAAGTGTTACTCAATGATGGTTTAAACTATGTGTATTAGATTTGAAGTTCGATATCAAATCCTTCAATCAAAAAATATAATAAGTTAAATTTGTAGTAAAAAAGCCTTCAACAGGTATGTCGTCCACACCTATGTAAGTAAAAAGTAACATTTTCCGAATTTTTTTTGTATCAACGTTTAGACCGCTATTTAAATATAGAGTTCCGCAAATTTGCAAAAGAAAAAATAAGCTCCTTCTACCTAATAATCTAAGTAACAGAATTGTCGTTTTAAAACCGTTTTCAACCCGTTCAACCCCTATAATTAAAATATTTGAAATTTTTATTTGCCAAAAGTGTTACTCAATGATGGTTTAAACTATATGTATTAGATTTGAAGTTCAATATCAAATCCTTCAATCAAAAAATATAATAAGTTAAATTTGTAGTAAAAAAGCCTTCAACAGGTATGTCGTCCACACCTATGTAAGTAAAAAGTAACATTTTCCGAATTTTTTTTGTATCAACGTTTAGACCGCTATTTAAATATAGAGTTCCGCAAATTTGCAAAAGAAAAAATAAGCTCCTTCTACCTAATAATCTAAGTAACAGAATTGTCGTTTTAAAACCGTTTTCAACCCGTTCAACCACTATAATTAAAATATTTGAAATTTTTATTTGCCAAAAGTGTTACTCAATGATGGTTTAAACTATGTGTATTAGATTTGAAGTTCGATATCAAATCCTTCAATCAAAAAATATAATAAGTTAAATTTGTAGTAAAAAATCCTTCAACAGGTATGTCGCCCACACCTATGTAAGTAAAAAGTAACATTTTCCTAATTTTTTTGTATCAACGTTTAGACCGCTATTTAAATATAGAGTTCCGACCATTTGCAAAAGAAAAAATAAGCTCCTTCTACCTAATAATCTAAGTAACAGAATTGTCGTTTTAAAACCGTTTTCAACCTGTTCAACCACTATAATTAAAATATTTGAAATTTTTATTTGCCAAAAGTGTTACTCAACGATGGTTTAAACTATGTGTATTAGATTTGAAGTTCGATATCAAATCCTTCAATCAATAAATATAATAAGTTAAATTTGTAGTAAAAAATCCTTCAACAGGTATGTCGCCCACACCTATGTAAGTAAAAAGTAACATTTTCCGATTTTTTTTTGTATCAATGTTTAGACCGCTATTTAAATATAGAGTTCCGACCATTTGCAAAAGAAAAAATAAGCTCCTTCTACCTAATAATCTAAGTAACAGAATTGTCGTTTTAAAACAGTTTTCAACCCGTTTAACCACTATAATTAAAATATTTGAAATTTTTTTTTGCCAAAAGTGTTACTCAACGATGGTTTAAACTATGTGTATTAGATTTGAAGTTCGATATCAAATCCTTCAATCAAAAAATATAATAAGTTAAATTTGTAGTAAAAAAGCCTTCAACAGGTATGTCGCCCACACCTATGTAAGTAAAAAGTAACATTTTCCGAATTTTTTTTGTATCAACGATTAGACCGCTATTTAAATATAGAGTTCCGCCCATTAGCAAAAGAAAAAATAAGCTCCTTCTACCTAATAATCTAAGTAACAGAATTGTCGTTTTAAAACCGTTTTCAACCCGTTCAACCACTATAATTAAAATATTTGAAATTTTTTTTTGCCAAAAGTGTTACTCAATGATGGTTTAAACTATGTGTATTAGATTTGAAGTTCGATATCAAATCCTTCAATCAAAAAATATAATAAGTTAAATTTGTAGTAAAAAATCCTTCAACAGGTATGTCGTCCACACCTATGTAAGTAAAAAGTAACATTTTCCGAATTTTTTTTGTATCAACGTTTAGACCGCTATTTAAATATAGAGTTCCGCCCATTTGCAAAAGAAAAAATAAGCTCCTTCTACCTAATAATTTTGTCAATATTGCTTTATTGACGACGTAATTGTAATAATTTTATGATTTAAGATGAGACCACTGTCCCTTATTTCGATGGACGCCCATCACCACACGGATAACTACAATTGCAACGGCTATCTGTTGTCGTATAATATAATATACCTATCTATGATCTTCTTTTGGCGTATTTAATTTATCTTGACACTTGACTCATCGGAACATCACATGAGGCTAGGTGTACATTATTACAAGGAAGACATTTCGGTAAGTGTAATGTGTACCTATTTGTTGTACAGCAGTATAACATTTACCCAAAATACTATTGTTTCTCTTTTTAATAGATTAGGGGGTGGGTAGTCAGGTAATCGTTTTCAGATCGGATTCAAGCAAATAGCAAGGTTTTGTTGCTACCCCAAATTAAAAGGAAAACAATAAAATATAAAGGTACACAGAAACCTTTTGTTGTGATAAAAATCAACACGAAACTAAAATACACAATTTCGTGACCAGATCATTGCTTGCCACGTGTACAACCATCAGACACTTACATCTAAGCAAAGGAGAGATTCTTTCTCTACTCTCGTCGTTAATTTGGGATTACATGACAATTGTCAAATGATAATTTTGTGGTCACAGAATATTCGTCTCATTTCCATGGTCCTTAACAATAACTGCCTTTACAAATATGTTGTTCTCAATATGCTCACATGTTGTATAAAGTATTTATTTTGTAAATTATTACTGTCTGCAGAATACTACGCGAAAAAAGTTATCGACTAAAATAAAATAGATTTTGTTTTTATTGGTGTAACTCAAAAACGAATAACCCCTAGACCCTTAAAATGTTCACCAAATCTTTATTTTAGAATTTTCTATATATGATAACGTTTTGTTAATATTTTGTCTCTTTTTGAGTTATTATATGCTTACACATTTTTAAGTTAATTTTTTTTTGTTCAGGTAAAAGCTATTAATAATAAAAATACTTAAATATAAATTATCATAATTATATGATTATATCATAAAAATATGATTATAATTTATAATATAGGATGACAGACTCTTTGATCATAACGTTATTTTGAATATAATTAATAACATTAATTATAACATTGAATTAAAATTTAACACATTCATTACAGTGAATTACACAACACCTACAGTAAGTACAGCAGAGTGGTACCCATTTGCCCACCTTTTTATTGTAATTTAAAAAAAAATTTAACCAAAACCCATTTCCTTTTTTATTTGATATTAATAAAGTTGGCATTTTTACAATATTGGATATTCAAACGTATGATAATGATTATTAGGTATTATTGAAAAAAACATTTATCTTAAGAACTTTAAAGTTTAAACTAAACTTTTACATAATTTTATATATGATTATACCTATACACATTGCCATTTTCAATATACTATAATAATACTTATATTATAATAGTACTATATGATTTATATGATATAGGTACTAGGTACCTATTAAAACAATCAATAATATATTTTATAGATATAATATTTTTAGAAAAAATTACTGAATTAATGAAGAAAAATGAGTACCCAGTAGTAAAATTGTTTATATGAGAATATTATAACGATTTAAAATTTAAAACATCCATTACTGATATCCACTCAATGTGAGGTACATTATACACCTATAACTAGGCAATAAAGAGACTTCCTCATTTTTAGTTGTATACTTTTTTATTTAATTAGTCCAAGGAATTAAAATCAACAATTTTATGTATTTTAAACTATAAAATAATTACCAATTTTCGTGATTTTGAAGAATTTTGTCAACATTTTGACACCAAACCACTTGTACAAAAATGTTATTCTTAAGTTTTTTTCGATATTTTTAAATTGATACTAGTATGCAATGTACTAGGAATCTTGTACGAGATGTTCAAGATGTATTTTTCAGCATTCCCAAATTCAATCCCTGTTAAGTAATTATTTGAAATAATGATAATGTCAAAAAAAGCGAACGGATAAAAATTACGAAAAAACTAATAGTGTCGGCGGCAGCGGGCAACGGCGCGGAACCGGTCTTCCCACCGCGTTCGGTACGAGTCAGTGGCGTCAGTGGCGTCGTTTCAGTTCAGTTCGGGCCGGTCTTCAGAGCACGTCGCCTACACCATAACCTAACGGTTGTCCTACACGGAAATCACAAACAAGTCAGCGTCGTCCTAACAGTGCTGGGTATCCCGGTGCCACGAAAGTAATTTTTTATTAAAATTTAATATCTCGAATGCCGCACAACGTTCGGTGACCAACATGAACCTGGTAACGTCGTCTCCAAAGTCACGGCCGCCGCTGCTGCTGCTGCTTCAGTTTTTGCTGTTGCTGGCTGCAACGAGAGGAGCCACAGGTTGGCCGTGGCCGTCGTTGGGTGGCCCGTCCGCAGCCGTTGGCAGAGGTACGTATATCATACAACCTGCGGGGATGATGAATTATTATTTTTGATTGTAGAAAGTATAGTATGTTATGTGTATGGTACGATTTTAGTGCACGCCATTTTCGTATAATGACACCCTAGAAAATCATTAGAATTCGTAAGTTCCACTGGGTTCTGCCATATAATAGACGGTCGGAAGTTTTGTTGGAACAATATTATTACATAAAATACGTAATGTGTGATCACATGGTTATAATATTATTATTACACGGTTGAATTTCCACGGTTTAAAAGTAAATACATACCTACTTTGTAAAACAAAAACGCGGGAACTACAATATAAAATCGTTTAATGTTATGGACTAACACCCCCGTCAATGATACTTTTAAACTCCTGTAATTATAAACTCGTATTGTATAGACATTCTTTGGATGTACAGTATAATATTATCAACCTAATATTATATGCTACAAACATTCTAGTTTGTGTGTACCTATGTAGATTGTAAATTGTTTTAATTAACCGGATCATTAATATTTTAATTTGGCGTTGTTTCTTTTTTAAATCTCAAAAAGCGAATATTGAATAACTTTTAACCAATGATTATTATTATGCGTGCATAACGCAAGTAGTACAGTGACAAATAGCTATTGTTACAAATAATGATAATATAATGGGATACCTATGAAATACAATAAATCATGGATTAACTGACTCGTGACATGAGCTTAAAAAAGCTCAATGGTGTATAGGAACTCGAAATATCGTTGTTAATGTATTCAGTACATCTATTTATTATACACGAATATAATATTATGATGTTTATTGTTCACCACGTGTATTAAATTCGACCGGAATTTTACGTATAAAGTGGCACATGGTTTTAGTTTAACAGGTCACTTCGATGCGCCGCCGCCACCACTAGTGTTCCACATATTATTATTATCATTATTATTAAATAGAGAGCGGCATCAGCCGTGACCGTCGTCGTCGTCGTCGTTGTCCTTCCGGCAGTGACCAAAACGAAACCGGCTACCAGGTAACATGGTTAACGGTGTGCACAAGGCCGCTCGTTCGGCAGTCGGTCAAGTTCAAGAGCGACGTTTTTCCTAGGGCGATCAAAAACTAGTTTACCACTGTGCGCAATACCAAAGATTACAATATTATAACATAATAATATAATATTATAATATGCCGGGCCTAATTGTACGAGCTTCCGCATCTATGTTTTGACCTTAGATCATACATAATAAATTGTGTAAGATCTAAGTTTTTGACATAATATTTTACCGTTAGATGCTCGTATAGAGTTTGATTGTGCTAAATGACCACTTACACGAGCCGCGAGCCTCAGACTAGATCAATTTTTTTTAGTTAATGATGTTTTAAGATTTTGATATGAATATGCCGTAAAAACCCATTCCAAACGTTATTAGGAAAAAAAAAAGAAAATAACCAGATGGACATCATACTAAACTTATGAAATTAAATAGGTACGTGGCAATTTTTTCTCGAGTAGACTCGATTTTTCGGCGTTCAAAATTTTTTAATTGATATGGTATATATTTCGTTTACTTACACGAGAGTTTATTTGTTACGGGAAAAGGGTGGGAGAAGGAACATGTTTCGTATTAATTTAATGAACATTCCCGTTATGAACGCGATTATTACACGTCACTGGATATAGAGTGATATTATTGACATTATTACATCCATCTCCTCAAATCCCAAACGGACTGTCTGATATCCTCTTGAACCTCTAGTAATGACGATAAAAAAAAAAACGCGGGCAATAGTAATAGTGACATAGATACACATCGATAATGAATCATAACGCAATTATTTCGAGAGTACTGAAAACAATTTGTCAGACTTAAACTGTAGTTGTAATGATACAAGAATATAGTCATGTACTTGTATTTAGTGTTTTAAAATCTTATACAATTTATTTTGATAAAAGTTTTATGAAGAATTTAATTTTAGTGAAAAACAAGACAATACTAATAATTCAAATTTAAAACTAGATTTAGCAAATAGCAATAGACTAATAATTCGCAGAGCATTTGTTTTATTATTTCGAGAGAAATCTCATTTGGAGTGTACGATGCACATTGCTGAACAGCAAATGCCCGTTATTTATGACAAAGTCTTGAGTAGCACCCAAAATCGTTTTTTGAGCGGCCATCATAATAATAAAAAATAATATAATAATATACTCCACAATCTTGCGTGGATGCGAGACGATAGTGTCGAGAATAGGAATCATTGTCGACTTATCGTTGTTTCGTGAGTCTATATTATACACAATAAAGCCTGGCCTTTATAGATAATAACATGAAATTGTATTCTATAGATGGATACGCTATAACTGATGCGGTAACCAAACAGAAAAATAGGTCGACAAAAACACTGTTTAAGAATTTAAAAATATATACCTACGCAGTACGTATATAATACATATTTTTTTTAGAAATATATAAAACGCAATGGGACGTATAATGTAAATGGACGATTGAACGCCACAGCAGCTGCTTTTATAGTATGTGGGCATATTTTTATTTTGTTCCACAAAAAAAGAACTTTTATTTATATTTTTAAGTTTGATTTATGATGTATGGTTTGAAAATAAATTTCAGAAAGTTCGATGTTAGTGATATACACGTTACACTGCGATACAGCATTATATATTATAAATTATAATACAGCTGATACATGCCATTGCAGCAAATTGTCCACCCCTAAGGTTCATATTTACAATAAAATAATATTGTATCGACTAAATATATATAATATAAGACTGTTGAAGGCGCACTTAATAAGACTTAACCTTAGTTAAAATATAACATAATAATTTGTATAGGTATTTATATAAAACCATTATTACTTCAAAACCAGGCAGCCTAAGTTAATGTTAAATGTCAATAAAGAACACAAGCAAAAAATATAAAAACTCTGTCAGGTTGGAAAGTTAGTTTGTTTTTTGTTTTTAATATACATTGAAATTGGCAAAGTAAAATTAAAATGTAATATTATAAATATTCATAAAAAATTAACATCATAAAATTAAAAGATTATCGAAAAATAATGTAACTCTAGATGAGCTATTATGAAGCTTTTAAGTTGAAATGCGTTTTTATCAAAACCATAACTTTTAATAAAATTGTTACATAAAATAAATTCTCTTTATTCAATATTTTCCATTGAATGACAATTTGTATTAGATATAGAAATATATTTTATTGATCAATATGTTGATTCCATCGTCATTCTAAATTCTACAAAATTTGACCCAGCAAATTATTAGTAACACTGGTAGAATGTAATTATTTAAATTATTTAAATTAGCTAGCCGTCCTAATTGATGTCTAGTAACAATATGGGATAATACTATCCATTTATAGAATACATAACTTCTTGAAATATAATAATATATTTTATATATAATTAAACTTGAATATTACTAATATAATATAATAGGATAATATAATATTATATGATAATCATAGTATCCACCGCAAAATATGAATAGGTATACTAGCTGAATAATCAGGATTCACCCTTGTGGATTTAGCTGAATCTATAGAAGAAAATTGTGTAAGTCAAAAACTGTAGATTTGCATAAGGTTCATCCGTTTTAGACCTTTGATGTTTATAGTGGGATAGCTGTGAAAGCCGACTTTGACCGGGAAAAAATGTACAAATGTAAAATACAACACTATAAGGTTAGGTTTGTACCTCAGTTCACAGCCAAATCGGCTTCAGTGTACTTAGATTTGTGAAATAATTCGACCTAGATGGGCAACCGCAAGATTTAGATTTAGAACTTGGTATATTTTTTAAGCTACTCTCTACATTTTTCTGATATCTCTAAAAACCGTATATGAGATTTTTGTCAAAATCAATCGAAAATGCACCTCATCTTAATATAAACAAAAAAAAAAGTTTCAAATTCTATCGTGAATCTCAAAATCCTTGTTTGAGGACCTGTTTAAAATGTGAATTTTGGAAAATCATAAATTGAAATACTACTGACCAAATTGTATACTCATACCTTCGATGGTTCCGTCTAGGTGATGATGAAACAGTCAGGACAAGTTATTTTATGTGGTTGGCCACAGTCGCTAATATGTTTTGAGGTCAAGCATTGACCGGCATCCCTAGCTCCCGGATGGGTGACCACCCGGCTTTTAGTGACAAATCCTCACCCCATGTGGCATGTACACGTGTTCCAAACCAACCGCACCCTCGCCCACAGTGAAAACCACCTAATGACCATGCAGCCGAAGCCTTAATAAAAATAAAAAGAAAAATATTACATTATGCATTTATTCAGCAGTATAATAATAATATTATTACAGTGATATTTTATTTTTTAACAATATTACATTATTATCCTTAGCGTTTGGTTGAGCTATTCACCGAGAGAACAATACATCCCAATTAAAATGAATTATTAAAATTTACAGAATTATAACTGAATTATTTCGTTAGTGTGTTAAGCACAGTATCTACTTTAGATTGTTTAATAACAATAATTCATACATTTAATATTTCTAATTAGGTATATGTTTAGGTAATGTGTATGCTGGCATGACGTTATTTCTATTCGGTCGGGGCATCGATTTTACTGCCGATGATAAATGTTTAGCTTGAATCGTTTACATTATAATTTATAATAATAAATATGACTTTTGATATATCATAGTCGTTACACTCGTAATAATTTATCATTTCTTGCTGAGTAAGGGTAATATATTATCTAAACGAGATAGGTACCTACACTAACCGTTTCACATAGGCATTGCAGGATATATAAATTCATAATAAGCGTTCTCGTCTTACAGATTCATAATTAAAATGCAATAATAATTTCGCATTTATATTATTGCGTACCTACAGAGATGAATTTCTCTCTTTTTCTCGCTATCCCTCTTTCTTTACATGTAAATATGTAATGATATATTTAATGCTTTGTCTAAAGGTGTCAATAATATTATAAAATTACCTATTGTACTGTTTA